CCCAGTAAAAATCGCGTTCGGGGGGGTAAAATACAATTTTTTTTGGTGGGGTTCTCCTGGTACAATTCACATTCCAGTGCCTAAATATCACGTTATTGGGGTCGCTTCAACCTGCTGACATAAAACACAACCGGCGGCAATCGCGGATTTGGCAACACTTGCCTGCAAACTACGTTTCATATAACTCCTCCCCGAACTTCCCGCTGCCCTGTATCTTGGTCTCTCATTGGCTGTAGGTCATCGCCGATGTGTTTTTCAGTCAGAACTCATTTCACACAGTGTGATTGTGAATCGCCGACAGCTCCATATATTTAGCATGCCAAATATTTCACGGGCGTCTGCGACCTGTCGGCGATTCCCTCAGATCGCGTCTTTGATAATTCACACTGCGTGATTGTCACTCGCGTGAACGAGCACCGATTTCCCTCCGATTTCGGGCATTTGTCGGCGATTTCGCAAAACCTGTCGGCGAGTGAAAAATCGGGCTAAAATCGTGGTGTGAACTCGGCATTAAGGAGACAGTCTGCCTGGCTGCATTTAATCTCATTATCAGAGACCCTCCGTTTACCTCTCTCTCACACACACACACACACACACACACACACACACACACACACACGGCGCGAGTGTAGGATTGTGTTTAGTCACGCGTCCGTTCTCTTTCGCTCGGACCGCGTCTCCATGGAGACCGATAGCGATCACCGGTGACGGGTTCGGGTCGGTTCAGTTTCCACTCGAGGGAGGAATCGGTACAATGCTCTCTTTATGAGCCCGACAGACGCTTTATGATGTTCCACTTTATTATTGGTCTTCAGAAAGCTCAGGATTAAAGGAGACGAGTTTAGCACGGAGTACTTAAACACGAGTCACACCGACTGACAAACCACGGATTACTCACGCGCTCGTTCATCTCAAAAACAATCAAAGTAAAACGGGTCTAAATGCGTTTACAGTTCGCTCACTGAACGAATTTACCCTGAAAGGTCAAAGAGTTAGTGTTAATTGTGCTGAGCTGATTAAAGTGATTCACTGTTTACAAAAGATTAATTCAGACCCCAGCGCGCGCTGCCTGAAGAGCACACAGACTGAGCTGAGCTAATGAGCTAATGAGCTAATCTCGTGTGGAGGCTTTACTCAGACCTGCAGCAGAGCTCGGACTCAGTGCTGTGAGGGTTTGCATTAAACCGGGGACTTTTCCGAGTTCAGTGGTCAAAACATCACCGAAACCGCACTTCTGATTATCTACAAAAATAAAAAACGGAGGAAAACTGCTTTTGTTTTTTTGAATTGTTGTGGCTTCCACATAACTAATAATTACAGTGATGTTTGAGGATCAAACTTACCCTAGTTTTTAATACAATTCACCAAAAATCACACTATGAAAAATAGCAAACATATTAAAACAGTATTATAACAAAATTATGGCTTTACAAAAACACATTAAATATAAACGTGATGAATATGATAAATAAAACTATTGAACAAATGCGTTTAATATTTTCTAACTGCATTTTCACAAACTGTGAGTATAAAGCAAATATAACTTTTCAAATTTTATGTTTATGCTTTTTTTTGGAAGTGGATTTTTTCTATCCCTAATCAGGCGTATTATTTAGCATTTTAGGCTCATTTTGACCAGAAAGTGATGAAATGTAACTGTGCAAGTGTAATCGATTAGTTTATTATTGATGTCGGAGTTGCCCGGAAAGCTAGTGATAACTGAACAAAAGCTCACAGGTTTCACTATCCTCAAATCAAATTCATAGTTATATTAATAAATATTACTCAACTACTATAAATATATCCAACTTTATCCACACTCACATACAACGATATATAGCTAGTTAACGAAAATAACTCTCTGGGCGATAATATAGGTACATTTTGCAACGATATAAACAATCATGCAAATTTATTAATTTTTTTTTTAGTTCAGCCAAAACTGAAGATTAGCTGAAAATGTGTTCACCCTCAGTCCATCCCAGATCAGGATGAGTTTGTTTCTTCATCAGGTTTGTAGAAATGTAGCATTGCATCAGTGTCTCAGCAATGGATGCTCTGCAGTGAATGGGTGCCGTCAGAATGAGAGTCCAAACAGCTGATAAAAACATCACAATAATCCACAAGTAATCCACAGCACTCCAGTCCATCAGTTAACATCTGGAGAAGACAAAAGCTGAGACAAATCCAGCATTAAGATGCTTTAAGGGACTCTCATTCTGACGGCACCCATTCACTGCAGAGCATCCATTGCTGAGACACTGATGCAGTGCTACATTTCTCCAAACCTGATGAAGAAACAAACTCATCCTGATCTCGGATGAACTGAGGGTGAACACATTTTCAGCAAACTGTCATGTTCGGTGGTGAATCCCCAAAGACACGGTGAAACTGGCGTGTTTGCTCTTGATGAGAATACAGTTTCGGCTTCGTCAGTCCAGCACAAGAACAGACCTGGTTTATTTTTCTTCTCTGTTTGTCTCTGTCCTTGGCTCCTGGACATCTGCTGGGCATTAGAGCCGCGGCTGCTGACTAATTTAATATTTGCTCTGTTTTGATCTTCCACCTCTAATCAGCGGCCGTCTGGGATCAGCTTTCTGAGAGAACCCGTTCGAAAGCTGAATGCTAATGTTATTGCAGCATGTTTGTGGAATCGAAGCGGCTCCGGAGCATAGCTGAGCACAGAGCTTCAGAAACACAAGATCAGATCACACTGGGAAATAAACCAGACATGCACTTTCAGTACATGACCAAAAACACTGAGACCGTTCTCTAAATATCTTCTTTTCTGTTTCACGGGTGAAGGAAAGGCAAGTAAACTGATATAAACTGAGTAAACTGAGTCTCGATATAAAGTAGGTGGAAAAAAGCTTTTTACAAAAACAAATGCAGCTGTAAAAACATGAAGATTACACTGAATGTGTTCATTTCTGATCTGAATGTGCGCAAATACTTCAGATGCACGTCTGACTTCTGTTCTTCAGGCATTTGGCATGAGAAGCTCTGATAATATACACTATATGAATAATAACCAATATAATATAATAATGCAGGAGGAGTAACAAATGAAAGATATTAACGATTTCTCAACTGTCCCAATATAAATGTAGATAGAATAGTATTTGATTTAGTGCTTTACATTAATGACAGATTATAGCGAAGTCATTTCTGCGTTCTGTGAATGTTGTTGTGTCTCACCACTTCTCTGGCTCTCCCGCTGAAGCTGTCTCTCGCTCTCGGTCTCTTCGCTCCGCCGGTCTCGTCTCTGCTGGAGGAGTCGAGCAGTCCGAGCGCTTTATTCCGCGTTTTCACCGTTTTCACGCTCGCTTTGAATAACAGTGTTATATCGGCAGCCATGACTGACACGTCGCCGCTCTGACGTCACCCGCCGGCGACACGCGCGCAGAGAACGGAAGCACGTGTTCCCATGGATACGCAACGCGTTCGGAGCAGTATATACTGCACGCTTACGCTCTGTCTGCAGTAGTGTAGTAGTATTCTAGTATGCTGTGGCGTGTCAACACATCTCAGGGTTTCTGCGGGCCTTAAAAGGGTGTTAAAAGTATTCGCCCTTCCACAAATTAAGGCCTTTAAAAGGTCTACAATATATAAAGTCACGGATTTAAATGTTGCATGCACTGCAAAAAATACAAAATAAATTACAAACAAGAATATCTTCCTCATAGGGGTGTACAGTGTTGCCAACATAGCAATTTTGTTGCTAAATTTAGCAACTTTTCACACTACACTAGCAACTTTTTCTTCCAAAAGCACCTAGCAACAAATTTAGCTATTTTTACATTTTATTTGGCTACTTATTCATTATTCATTATCCATTGTAACCCTGTAATCCGAAAACACAAAATACAATGCGTAATTTAAAATGCAGGTAAAAAACCTGTGAAAAATCAATACGGAAAATTCCTTCATATTAACATAGTAGATTGTGCCCTAGTAAAGAAACTTAAATTGTAAGCCCTAATTGTTCAAAAATGTGTAAGTGTGCAATAATCCAATGTTGTATTTAAAAATACAGTTATTTATATTTTAATATTATATTACATTATATTATTTTACGAACAAATCTAAATTAACATATATAAAAAAAATGTTTGCTGAGATTTGATGTAGTGACAATTTGCGTCATAATTACGTAATGATGTCATCGTGTAATGACATCACAACGTCATTTAGCAACAAATTGACCTTCCTTTAGCAGCTTCCCCTGGAAATGAGTCGGCAACACTGGGGGTGTAACGATTCTCTCGTTTTCTCGATGCATCGATCACACACCCTGACGATGCAATGCATCGATCTTGAAACATGATTTTTGAATCGCCGATTTCAGACAGTAATCGATTTAAAACGCTAAGAATCGAATGAATCGCGATTTCTATAGCGACTCAATGCTTTCAAAATATATCCACATTAAATGACTGCAAGCAGGAATGAATGGAGAGCTTGAGCAGTGTTGCTCGCTGATCTCTGAGGACTCGTGGCTAGTTATGCTAAAGTGAAGTAGCTTTGCTTTTCTGTAGTTATTCAGTGGCTCTCGGTCACACCGACATTACCCGAGCAGTCGAAGGCTGAGCATTTACTGCATGGACGGAGCAGAAATGTGTCTGAAGCATACACACAGTTCCATTGAATGATAAATGTGTTTTAACAATGTCGTTGGACCGAGTGTATGAAGGAAACTGTTAAAATAACCACAGCATTAACAACAACCTTGAAATAAGAGCGCGAGGTTCATCTGATAATCAGATGCGTGAATAGCTTCGTTGCTATAGCAACAGACATCTTTTCTCTCAGGATCATCATTGGCTGATGGAGAGGAAGAGTTAAACTCTATAGCATTCTATTTTATGAAAATGAGATACAAGTGTTGGCACTGAAAGAGAAGTGATCTCGCGCTCATAGACCTGCAGGCTATACCTGCAGCTAATCTGAATAAAAAGCAGAATGAACTGATGAAACGTTAAGACAATAAACACATAAATAAATACAATTTATGAATGATTCAGTGCTAATGGACATATCATTTAGCACAGTACAGAAACTATAAAGTATATGTTCTACCTTATTCTGTGCAGAAAATTTAAATAATTGTTTGTAGTATATAAAACAATCATAAAACTGCCGTTATGAAAAAATTATAGATTACAAATGATTGATTATTGTCCAGCAGTGTATTTGATTTCTTCTAGCAAATTCAAAGTAAGAGATAAGAAAATAATTCCTTGTAAAAAAATAAATAAATAAATAATAATACATACATACATTAAATTATTGTATTTGGCATTTCTGTCACTTCTGAAATGATGGCTGCGCCCCTGGTGTGACAAAATATTAGCCTTTATATAATACTTTCAAAGCTCTTTTTTAAAATCTTGGCTTACATGAATTTCTACACATGCCATAGCATCATTAATAGCATCTAACAATGCACAACAGTGTTTTATGTTTCTCTCTGACCTATGGTTCTGTAACTATAAAGGCTGCTGTGTAATTTGCCCCCTGACGAAGCATTTAAAGAATCCTGTGCATGCACTTAAAGAATGCAGAATCGAATCGTTAATCGAATCGAATCAAATTTAATTGTGAACCGAATCGAATTGAATCGTTCTGAATTTTGTCATGCCATAGCATCATTAAACTAGCATCTAACAATAGACAAAAGTGTTTTTTTTTTTCTCTAACCTATGGTTCTGTAACTATAAAGGCTGCTGTGTAATTTGCCCCCTGACGAAGCATTTAAAGAATCCTGTGCATGCACTTAAAGAATGCAGAATCGAATCGTGAATCAAATCGAATCGAATTTAATTGTGAATCGAATCGAATTGAATCGTTCTTGAATCGAATCGAATCGCTGTCTACCCAAAGATTCGCAGCCCTAGTTCCTCAGTATTTCAGTCTTGTTTTCCAGTACAAATACCTAAACATCCTTCAATCAAGACGCATTTACTGGAGATGCAAAAATTGAAGAAATTAAATCTTGTAAAAAAAAAAATGAAGAAAATTAATTGAGTTTATGCTTAAAACAAGAACAAATATCTGTTAATGGGGAATTAAAACTTGTTTGCCCTTTGATTATTTTTTCTGACCCACTGGCTGATATTTGTTCTGGTTTTAATCATAAACTCACTAAATTTTGTAGAATTTTTTCAGAAAACAAGACTTCTTTATGTAATTTTACTTCTTAATGAAATGTATCCTGATTTAGGAATCTTCTAGATCTTTTAGACATTAGCACTGGAGAACAAGACAGAAATACTGAAGAACATCATTTTCTGCAGTGCTACAGAAGTTATTTCCATAGTTTGTGAGCAGAGATGTTCGGACCTGTTGTGTGTGTGTAAAATGCATTAAAAAGTAACTAATGGACATCTATCTGGATTATTTTTGTTTTAGCTTTGAAGCACTGCGTCAGAAAAGAGGCTCTTTCACAGTAATGTAGTAGTCATACTCAATCTGTGCAGCTGAAGCAGTTTACATCAAAGCCTTCATATGTTACTACTGGGGTTCCCCAGGGCTCAGTTTTGGGTCCTCTCTTATTTATTATTTATCTTTTACCTCTTGGTAATATTTTTAAGAAGTTTGGTATTCAGTTTCACTGCTATGTTGATGACACGAGTCCTGATGATTTGAGAAGGCTAAACTGATCAAACATAGGCTATGATCAGCTCACTGTCTGCTGCTGGCCTTTACTTAAAAAAAAAACGTACATATTAACGAACAAAAAATGCTCCAAACGTTTTTCTAAATTTACTTTATAAAAAAACTAAACTAAATATAATCACTTTTCCATTACATACAAAACTGAACTATTTTAATAGCTGAAACAGTAGTATAAGCTTTTTTTGGGAAAAGGGGAAAAAGACGGGCTAGGGCCTATATTTGAGACCCGTGCAGGGCTCTAATCCACTTCATCCAACGCTGTTTTGTTCTCATCTGTGAGCATGCTCTTGATATATGTATTTTACCATTTTGTTGAGTTTAAAACGTATGACACATTCGTCCTGCTCTCACTGATCATTTGAGAGCAATACCCCCCCCACACACAACATGAAAGAAATCATAACATGTAAAGAAAAATAAATTATAACATGTACATGAAAATGTAGAAACATTGGACACAACTATGGGGCACCATTGTGCAGCAGCAAGCATCACAACAAAAAAGGAACCTCAAGGTTGATCTAGGAAAATGTGTGCAA